GCGTTTTCTTATTTATTAGAATTAAATTTTTTAATATGCAATATATTTATATTATTATATTTTATAGGTGTGACCAACTTCAAGATGCAGTGAATTATTGTATACAAATTGTGAATAATAATATTATGGGTGATGAACGAGTTGGTGAGTTGCATAGTGATGAACCTTTGGAGCATGAATTAACCGACAATGATGAAATGTATGAGGATGATGATGATGATGATGTGGATGATGCACCTAATGCATCCGTTGAAGATCAAAGTATTAATCATCATTCTACAGTGATTCCATACTTAGATCACACTGAAAAAAGTGCAGAAGATTTTATCTATACAAGAGATGATGGTTCTATCCGAACGACACTTTGGAATCTGAACAATCCTAAATATATCCAATCAGGTTCGATTGTTGCCAAGGCAGCGATTTTTTGAAAAAAAAAATCCACGAAATTTATAATAACATTTTAAAAAAAAAAACATTAACGAAAATCGCTGCCAGGGCAGCGATTTCCAAAAAAAATAAAATAAGTTTATTTTTATAAAAACGCTGCCATAGCAGCAATTGTCATTATTTTTTAAGAAAATCGCAAAAACGCTGCAAGGGCAGTGATTTTTTTTTAAAAAACAAAATCTCAAAAACACTGCACGGGCAGAGATTTAAAAAAAAAAAAAAAAGAAATTTACCATCAGATGTTGACTAGTTGACAGAAATTTCAAAAAATAAAATAAAATAAAAGAATATTTCTACAAAAATCGTTGCCTACTAGTTCCACTAAAATCGCTCCTAGGCAGCGATTTCAAAATATATATATTTTTTTTTTTTTGTAAAAAAGCTGTCAAATGGCTGAAAATTGCTGCCTTGACAGCTTTTTAGTTAAATTTTTTTCTTTTTTTTTAAATTCGTTTCTCTTCAATTTTTATTTTTTTTAAAATCGTTATTCGTTTTGAAAACAAGGCAGTGTTTTATTAAAAAATAATTTTTTTAACAAAAATCGTTGAAAAGGCAGCCTAATTCGACACCGATTAAAGTGCATGCCTCATTTTGATGATTTCTACGTCGAGTCCAAATTTTTGGGTGGAATCAGGCTCCCTGTCAGCAATTTTTTTTTAAAATATTGTTCTTTCATAAAACTTAAAAAAAAAATAATTAAGAAAAGATTTTCCAAAAAAAGTTTTTACAAAAAAGTTGCCAATTTTTTTTTCTATGAAAACGCTGCCATAGCAGCGATATCAGTTGGAGGAAAAAAATTAGAGTTAAAAAATCGTTGTTGTGCCAACGATTTTAGTGAAAAAAAAATTGGAGAAAAATCGCTGCCCTGGCAGCGATTTTATTTTAACGGAGTACACGGCGTTAATATGTGTCAGAGGAATCGCTCCGGCAGGAGAGATTTTGCCGTTTTGGTTTTAAAAAAATATGATGTGCCCTTTTGGAATTTTTGGCAATTTTTTTTACCCTTTTGGCTCCGGACTCCACTTTTCATTTTGCACAATCCTACAAGGGGTCGTGACCAGCACTTTAGTTGTAGGCCCCTGCGTCCGAGATGGAGCAATCGTCACTCGATAGCTCAAAATTGACTAGTAAAAAATCATGTAATCTATCCTCGTTTATGTACCCGCGTTAGTCCCTAATACCATCTATATGGTATACGAATCCAAGACTTCCTAGCTAGAGGCTAGACAGTATCAAACCACGGGACAGGAAAAAAAGAGCAGCTTTCTAGGTTCTGCCATTGTAGGGTCAAAAATAATAATAAAAAACGAAATAGAAGCGACGCCTGGTCATGTAACCTAACAATCCATCTCAATACATATTCACACCACATACTTTCTTTCTTTCTTTTTTTAAAAAAAAGGACTTCATCCGACGTTTCAGAGCGATTCAGTTCACTGCAAATTGAAATGCTGCGATTCAGTCCATTGCAAATCGAAAGCGACGATGGAAGAGTGACCGAGTCGAGCGACGTTGTTTAAAAACGACGCAATCCTTCACTTTTTAGGCGGTTTTTAGTAGTATGCAATTTTGCAATTCAAGGAAGGAGGGATTTCACAAAATTTGTGAAAACAAAACTAGGCCCATTTGGCCATGAGAGACATTCCACCAGCACCTAAAAGAACAGCCATGTATGATTTGATTTGTAGCTTGACACTGCCTTGTAATTTATCACCCATAAAATCAGCAGCAAGAAGATCAACCAAAGCCATATAAATCAAAAGGCCAGCAGATGAGGCATTCAACAAGCCCACAATTATTAAAGCACGAGGACTATTTTCTTGATAAGTATTTGATAGTGCAATTCCAATTGCTATGCCAAATGGGGTTGTTACTGAAAAGAAAAATGCCATCATTGCTTTCTCCAACAACTTGTACTCAGCCTGAATTTTTTTTTAAAAAAAAAGATTAAAATTAGTGAATGTAAACTATAAATTATATGTATATTAGCAATATTACGTACTCTAAAAAAATATATTAACGATCGAAATTTATTTGTAAAATGAAAACTTACTTGGAGAATGCAACCACCAAGTCCCATTCCTTCAAACATTTGATGAAAGCAAAGTGCAGCACCTAATCCTTTAATTGTACATGTATTATTTGAAGCTCCAAGTGAAATCCCTATTACTATTGAGTGAACTATGATTCCCAGCTCTAACACCTGCAAAAATATAATTGCTACAAATGAATATGCTTGGGAAATCTTAGTAGCTCAGTTGGTTGACAATCTGAACTTTCACCTTATTGATGAGGGTTCGATTCATGATCCCCGAAAATGAATGACCAAATTAATAGAATATAAATAAAACTCACCATAGCAATCACTCTGTATCTTAGTAGTTTTGTACCCATTTCCAGATCAACACCACCTTGAGGCTGACCAATTTCTGGATTAACCACACCACCTTTATGTTTTTTGCTATACAAACTAGTAGATATAGAATCAATAGCCATTGTTACTATAGCGGACAGCATAGCCACAAATCCAGTGAAGGGGAATTTGTGCCACGGGTTCTCCTTAAGGCAACTGGACGACAACATGTCAAATGAGTCCGGTAACACGTGCATAAATCCCGTACCTAATATAATTCCGGAAGCAAATGCCTTGACAATCACGAAAAGGCTTCGTTCCGGACTTAGGGCAGGGATAGAACGCGTGACCAATGGAAGCCATACACCAATTATACTGGTTATAAGAATAGAAATTATGGTTATGATTTTTAAGGGTAACGCTTTGGATTTGTCGACACATGAGTTATCTTGTTCTGGTCCACAATCTTCTACTACGGAAGAAACTTGAGGGACGAAAATTGAGATGAGAACGAAGAAAATGACCATGTGATTGAAATTACAATTCATTATTCTGCAAATATAGAGGTAATAAGTTTAAGTAAGAATATGAAAGATAGTAAACTATAAGAAGAAGAAAAATTGTTGTGAATGTTTGTGTGTTTATTCGTCTATATAGCAAAAAACATAAAATTAGAAACTACCCAACTTATCCTAATTATTAGGTATCTTAAATAACAAAATAGTATTTACACCGGAAGTAAAAGTGGAAAAGGTCATAAACTATCCAACTATATCCTAATTATTAGCTATCTAAATAACAAAGCTTCTATTTACATGGAAGTAAAATGGAAAAGGAAAACTATTAAGTATTTATTTTAAATATGGAAAAACGAAAGTAAAAATTTAGAAAATCTCGTGTCGTTATTTTTATATACTTTGTATTGTCTGAAAGGCACAAAATCTTTTTAACCATTTTCATTCTTCTTTTCAACAAAATGATTCTTCAGCTTCTTGTCCAATGAGTCTCCAATAAATCCAATATCTGCCCCCCCCACCCACAACCAAGTTGGAGGGGGAGGAACGAAAATCCAGCTTGTTCAATAGGAAACGATGAGAAGCATCAAGTAGAATGTAACAACTTGTTTTGTTCGTTATTGAAATATTAATATCAATACATAAGAGTTCTCGTCTTATATATTATTTCTTTTTCAATATAAATTTATATTACATTGATTATATATGATTATTCACATTATATATGGATTAGACATTCCTCAACTATTTTTTAATTAATTGAGAAAATTTCAGAAGTAACATAATAGGCATAATAAGGCTCTATAACTATAATTTCGATAATTGTGCTTCATAGTTATTGTTTTGTTTGCTATAGAGGCTGTCGTTTGTATATTTCGCTTGCGAATATACAAATAGGATAAGTATATACAAATTCTGTATTTATATAGTTAAAAAAATTTCAGAACTCCGTTTATATATTTTGTTTGCCAATACATAAATAGGGTAATTTATTACTCTATGAATTTTTCATAAATCGTATAGAAATAGCTAGAGTAAGCATATACAAAATTTTGAATTTATACAATCAGTAATCGAATTATACAACTTCTGAATTTATCATGAAAATAGCAAGAATTGGGAAAACTATAGCCAAACAACTATTTAAATTAATTTTTTGGAATATTAAGTCATAAAACGGTCGTATTTTGTAAAATCCATGTAGGATAGGAAACTACCAAGTCAACATCAAACACGTGGCTTTCTTATTCAGCACTCGTTGAAAACACATCCTTTGCCATTTTTGGATATGCATTTTCCGTATTTGTAAGTACAAAGTCCACATGTATATATGTTTATTAAACATTTAGGCCCCTGCCCACTTCATGCCTTTGCTATGATACAATACTATACCATTTACTTCTATTTCTCTATTCTGAAAAAATATTATTTATTTTCACTGATTCCAGCGATTTTCATGCTAGCTTTGGTGAAATAGTATTAGGCATCAATGTGTTATCCAACTTTAATTATTTTTAAAAAAATGAAATAGCCACCAATCATTGTTTTGCTAACCCTATGTTACGTTTGGATAATGAATTAAATATATTTTAAATCCCAGCTAGCACACGGAATACCAAAACTCAAAGAATATATAAATAGCTAGTAGTCAGCAGATAAAATAACTCATAAGTCATAACCACAAACAAACAACAAAAACATATTCTTATACTAAAAAAAATCTTTACAATTGCACAATGGCTAATTATAATATCAAGTACATCGCCATCTTCTTCATTCTCATCTCAATTTTGGCTCCTCGAGTTTTATCAGTAGTAGAAGATTGTGGAGCAGAAGAAGACAACTCATGTGTCAACAAATCCAAAGCGTTACCCTTAAAAATCATAGCCATAGTCTCCATCCTTATAACTAGTATGATCGGAGTATGTCTTCCACTAGTCACGCGTTCTATCCCGGCCCTGAGCCCGGAACGAAGCCTTTTTGTCATTGTCAAGGCATTTGCTGCCGGAATTATCCTGGCTACGGGATTTATGCACGTGCTACCGGACTCATTTGACATGTTGTCATCGAGTTGCCTTAAGGAGCACCCGTGGCACAAGTTCCCCTTCACTGGATTTGTGGCTATGTTGTCCGCTATAGTAACGATGGCTATTGACTCTATAGCTACTAGTTTGTACAGCAAAAAACATAATGGTAGTGGTGTAGTTAATCCAGAAGGTGATCAAGAAATGGCTGTGGCTGGAAATCATGTTCATTCCCATCATCATCATGGATCCCTTTCCACTAAAGATGGACTTGATGGCAAAAAACTACTAAGATACAGAGTAATTGCCATGGTGAGTTTCCTTCTCTGTTCTATTATCTAACATGTACACTTTTATCTTTATAGTCTGTTCAAAAAGAATTATGTACAACTTTTCTATATTAACTTTGAACTATACAAAAACGTTTTTGCAGGTGTTGGAGCTTGGAATTATTGTTCACTCAATAGTGATAGGGCTATCTCTAGGTGCGTCAAGCAATACATGTACAATTAAAGGACTCGTAGCTGCACTTTGCTTTCATCAAATGTTTGAAGGAATGGGCCTTGGTGGTTGCATCCTACAGGCAAGTAGCTATAGTGTTCATTTTGTGAAGAAATTTAAATGGAAAGGAGAATTTTTTTCTATTAAAGTAGTATGTATACCTTTGTCATTAGCAAATATCAACCATTCGTAAATATATTAGTAGTATCTTATTACATTCACTAATTCAACTCTTGTTCTAATCCAGGCTGAGTACAAGTTTATGAAGAAGGCAATAATGGCGTTTTTCTTCGCAGTAACAACTCCATTTGGTATAGCACTTGGGATAGCATTGTCAACTACTTATGAGGAAAATAGTCCACGGGCGTTAATAACTGTTGGATTGCTGAATGCATCATCTGCTGGCCTTTTGATTTATATGGCTTTGGTTGATCTTCTTGCTGCTGATTTTATGGGTGACAAATTACAAGGCAGTGTAAAGCTACAAATTAAGTCTTACATGGCTGTTCTTCTTGGGGCTGGTGGAATGTCTGTCATGGCAATTTGGGCTTAAATTTGTCTTCATATTTTGTTTTGAGCAATAAGTGTGTAAACGTACACCCCCTTCTTTTATCTTTAAAAATTCATGACCTATTGTGAGTTGCAAAAAAATTCTGTAAAATACATCATCTTATGTAAGTGTATCCAATGAGTAAACTTTTCCAACTAAATATTCTTCCGCAAATTATTAAGAAAACGAAAAAGGTTTGCTACAGTTACAATTTCAAAGAAATCCCTTTTCTCATTGATTGGTGTCATTATTTGTCCATTTTGTTTCTATTATTTTGACCATATATATTTTTGTGTTAGTCCGCATTTTCCCAACATATACTGGGCTACTCCATGAAGAATTGTTCTTCCATAGTAGTGAGATTTTGTTCCATAGGAAAAAGTAAAGAAAACAGTAACCAGCTGTAGTTGCATGAGAACAAAAACGCTCAAGTCCTAACTCAATGATTATTGGTAACCCTGTTAAAATTCCAAGCTGGATAAATGATTGAGAATCTAGAGTTGTTTCCATTAACTTTATGTTTTGCAATTTTGCCTCAACGACAAGTGCTCTTTGTAGACCACTTAATTATACCATGTATAGCTGTCCGTATAGAAACACATAAATCGTAATCACTGAAATCTGCAAAATTTTGACAGCAGGGATTACAAGAGACGTAGAAATCAGACTTAACAAACAAATTTCATGCTCAAAGACAGCAAAAAGAAGAAAACTTAATATGATTTTTGCTTCACTCGTTGTTAGAAGCAAGCAACACAATGGCTCTCATTCCCTTTATTCAAATCACCATTCCCCTTTTCTTCTGATTTGAAACAGGAAACAACTATAACTGATTAAGATTAAGATGTTCTATAATTGATTCAGATTAAGATCTTTTAATACTGTCAAACTTAGAATTTGGATCGTAACCCAAAACAATTATTGAATCGAACATAAATTAGTACCCAAAAGAAAAACTTATATATAAAAATTGACTAATCTTAAAACATTACTAAACTGAGACTAGTTATTTCCTTCCTCTTCTCTTCCAGGACTAAGATCCTTTCTCTTCCTCTCCCAAACGTGTCCCGCTAAGCGGAGTGAAATACATATATGGATGGAAGGGGAAACAACTTTCCCTTTCTGCCAAAACGCCATCTTCACGTTGTTGATTTACCTCTCTTAATACTTTCAACTTGACATTCTGCTCCTTCTTGGCATTCTGCTTCTTCCGATACTTTCTATAACCATACAAACCTCTATCAATAACATTCAAACCTAGTATCATGAGAACGCAATTACCTAACCAGTTACGACTCATGATTTGATAGTACACTCTCGGCAACAAATTTTTTCTCAACTTACAATAAACCGAACAAGAAAACAGTTTATTCAACAAAATATTTTTCTTATTACAATGAAAAACTTGGTATAAAACCTTTTTCAATACCCTTTATATAAATATATCACATATAAACCTTTCTTTCTCCAAAATCCTATTTGAATGCGGTAATGTTTACAAATCCAATTCCTAATAAAAAAACATCAGCAGCTTTAATAATGTAGTACAGTTTCAATTTATTTATTTTATTAGTACAATATCAATTGGACTTCCACGTTATGTCCTTTATAGTCTTGGCAAAATTTTCATTAATAATTTATTTATATACTTTATATAAATAAATACCAAAGAAGTATATATAATTTGTTTTTTCTATTTTTCTTATTTTGGAGCAAGTATTAGTAATCCTAACACCATAAGTATCGCTCTCTGATATTCATATAAGTAATCGCAAAACCATTAGTAAAGTATTTGGAAAATTATCTTCTTTTTTTTCTTTTTTTATTTCAATCAAATTATGAATGAAACAAGACTATATATAAAAAAAAAGTATCATAAAATTACATCACATTTCATTGATAAAGTAAAGAGATAAGTTAAAGTTAAATGTCGCAAAAATAAAATTGAATATCGTAAAATCTTGTCTGAAGCTCGATTAGAACACCCATGAATCTTTGTTTTTGTGTGGATGTGTGTTGTATTTTTGTTATGTTGCTTCTTGGGTTTTTTACCGTGTGTTTTGGAGAAATAAAATACTTTTTTGCTGTGTGTTATAACATGTGTTTTTCTTTTTCGTATGGTGTAGTGTTGTGTTTTGTTTAGTTTTTTTTCCTCTGGCACGTTTTTTGTTTTTTGGAAAACTATCTGACAATGGAAACTGGATTGAATCCTTAGATGCAAACAGTGGTGACTAAATTCTTTAGGCATCTAACCCAGGGGCGGAGCTACAGCCATCCAAGGGTGGTCAGCTGAACACTCTTCGCCCGAAAATTAAACTATATAGAGAGTTTGTACAGCGAAAAACATAATGTTAATCCAGAAAGTGATCAAGAAATGGGTGTCTGGAAATCATGTTCATTCCCATCATCATCATGGATCCCTTTCGACTAAAGATGGACTTGATGGCAAAAAACTACTAAGATACAGAGTAATTGCCATGGTGAGTGTCCTTCTCTATTCTATTATCTAACACGTATACTTTATCTTTTTAGTCTGTTAAAAAAGAACTACTACTTCTTTTATGTGTTTACAAATAGTTAAATTTCTTTAGAAATAATGATCATTGATTTGTTATAGATCAACAAACAATGGACAATTAATGTCTTATTTATGTCAACATTTTTTTAAGAAGGGAAAATACATAAAAATCCCCTGAGTTGGATAACTTACTTTAATACTTAAACTACACGAGCGTTTAAATACCCCCTTAAGATTTTTGAAGTGATTTTTTTCCACCCTGAGACTATAACACCACTCTCACCCGCCACATCATAGCCACATAAGCGTCACATCATAACCATGTAAGCATCATGTCATTAATCTTTATTTCTTTTTTACTTATTCATTATTTTTTTTTAAACACTTTTTAAAATTAATTATATCAATTGATAAATTTATAAATGCATACCCCCACTCCCACCCTCACCCCCACCCCCTCTCTTTCTTCTTCCTACGTTGTTCACCATTACTCCAACCCTCAATACTTTCTTTTCTTCTTCTTTATTATTCAACAATTTTTAAGTCTCTTTAAAGAAGAAATTCACATTATCTTCTTCGAATCCTCCCAATGAATTTACCCTCTTGGAGAATGGATTTTTTTGAAAGCCAATTTTTTTCTTGACAACTCAAATAAGAAATGAAGATTGCATAAGAAAGTTGATCCAAAAAAATATAAATTTTATGAGAAATGTTTGAATGATCTAGAAATCAAAATGGGTCGCTCAAAATTTAAGAAAGTTTACATTTGTCAAATCGATACAAATAATAGAGTGAAATCGAAGTCAATAAAATGACACTGCTATTGAATTTTACGAATTAGTAAAAGATTAGTGAAATGAAAATAGTGGATAGAGGTGGGGAAGAAGATGGAGGAAGAGATGTTTCAATGGAGAAAAATGTGTATTGAAGAAGACAACAAAATAAAAATAAAAAAAATTAAAGAAAATAAAAAGGGGAACCACTAATTTCATTTACCTCTTAATAAGAAAATTTACATATTTTAAAGATTTAATATATATAAAAAAACTATTTAAATAATTTGTTATATATTGGCCAATAAAAAAATGTCATGTGTAGGGCTTTAAAAATTCAGTTTTTTTTTTCTCTTTTTCCACACACTTTCAGGAGAGTGCACTCACTCTTTCTGCCACATCATCCCTTAGGGGGCGTTTTAATCACTTAAAAGATGTTAAAGGGTATATAAACACCCGTATAGTTTAAGTACTAAAGTAAGTTTTCGTGCCAAGTTCAGGGAGGATTTAATGTCTTTTCCCTTTTAAGAATGAAGAATCTTAGAACTATTTGTTTATTGAAAAATTAATTTTGAACTATACAAAAACGTTTTTGCAGGTGTTAGAGCTGGGAATCAATAGTGATAGGGCTATCTCTAAGTGTCACACCCCTTTTCGCGCACGGCGGTGGAAGGGTTTTTCCAATTTAAGTGACGGTATTGATTTAGAGATTATTTTTTTTCGTTTCAGAGTCGCCACTTGGAATTGAGTTATGGTGTTCCAAGTCACCTTTTGTTTAATCCCTAATCAAAAGGAAATGACTCTTTATATGGTCTGCGAACTAGAAATTCGGGTAAGGAATTCTATTGACCGAGGGGAAGGTATTAGGCATCCCTCGAGTTCCGTGGTTCTAGCACGGTCGCTTTTATTGACTTTTACCTACTTTAAATCATTTGTGGATATATTATTTTCAGGTCATGACTTGTTTGCATTTTTATTGTTGAACTTTTATTTGGTCTCAAATCGGATGCATAACTGCATTCTCGACTTTTGACATATAAATAGCTTATGAACATAATTGTTTTCTTCTCTCAAGTGCATCACCTAATTTTATCTATAAGTGATCTTATTTTAAATTAATGAAAGTTATTATATTTTTGGACAAGTTGCGTCACCGCATCCTTGAGTTTTTTTTTTTTTTTAATGTCTCAAAAAAGATGCGCAACCGCATTCTTAATTTTTTACAGATATTTTTTAACGTGCATAAAACTCATTTAGTATTAAAAGTACTTACTCTTACTTTTCTGAATTCTAGACAACTAATCTTCTCATTTCATTATTATATTTATTGATGATACTTTTAATTAAATTAACCCACATGTTAAAATATATATTAGAATAATTTTATCAAGGTGTGTCACCACATCCTTGAATTTCTTTCAAGTGTTTCAAAAAAGATGTGTAACCACATTCTTAATTGAAACAAATATTATTTTTTGTTTACATGCCTGAAACCCATCTAATGTTATAAGAAAATATTAAATAAAATCAAATAAATAAAACAAATCTAACTTCTAGGACACAATATAAATTTTGGATTACCTTATATTCTTTTATTTTTATTCACCCTTAAAGTTAATGTTAAAATTAGGCCTACACATATTATATTTTTATTTTTATTTTATCTTGAAGTTAATGGCGAAATTAGACATACTCATATTGTACTTTTTTATTAATCCAACAAAACAATGACGAATTGCTAA